GGGACCGACAATTTACTAATACTTCAGAAAACCCACACACTCACGCCACACCTGGACCCACATTCCTTCAGACAGACCCACCCTACAACTTGAGACTTATCCCCCCACCAAAGATGTAACATCCATCCACAGCAGAAACAGATGTCCCTGTAACAGATTTTCTCCACCGCACTCAGTCTCACCTTACCCCCCCTGGACTTCGCCCACACCTAGACTTACACCATAGCACAGAGACTGGCTATACAACCAGACACCTAAGCCATGGCGCATTTCACCACATGACATCTAGCCTCACAGCTCTACAGAGAGATGTGCCACCTAAGCCAGAAACTAGCCCGGAACCCTCCGACCTGCCCCGCAGTCCTCAGACACTCATACAACCCGGAGAAGAGCCATGCGCAGACACACAATCCACGACACACGTGTTCACCCCAGATGCCCAGACTTGCCCCAAACTTCACAGACACCCCTAATAATACCTAGACCTACTATACAATATTCAGGAGGCCTCACACACCAAGAAAGACAGCAAAATAGGTATGGTGACACCAGAACATTCGGCTTTACTTCATGAGGCACATACTCTGTCACTTTTGGCCCCAACAACGTGCTGCTCCACAGGGTATGAACAGAGGACCCACGTGCTCACACAGAGCTCTGGCAAGTGACTTCACTTCTTTGAGCCTGTATACTCACACGTAAACATGGACAGAGTACTTCTTTTGTCATTCCAAGAATTAAATGAGATCACATCAAGAATCAAGGTTTAGAACACGGTCTTTGGAGGCAGGTGTGCCCGTTTTATGGTCCCTGGGACCTGGGCACATTCGGTAGTGGAAATGGTCAGTGGTTGAGCTGAAGGAATATGGGTTTGGTGTCCATCAGGCCTGGTTTTGAATTCTGCCTCTGCCACCTGTTGGCCATATGACCTACAGAATGATCATTGGCCTTCCCTTGTAGCCAGGGGATGACCCTGGTTCCTGCCTCCTAGGCTGTGCTAGGGATTAAGTAACACCAGATATCTTAATCTGAATTGCTAGTCAAAGCAAAGGAGAATGAGGAAGAAAGTAGGAGTCATAACTTCGGGGCCCTTTGTAATAGACAAGCCTGGGGAAGCGGAAGGTGGGGTGGAGGCCACACCACGTGGGCTGTGGGCAGCCAGGGGGCAGCACGTGGGCTCCGGCTGGGGCCAGAGGGGAGAAGGAAGGTAGCGGCAGGCCAGAGTCTCTGACAGAAATGTCTGCAGTGGCAGTGGGATTTGAGTGCACATCTGTGCTGCCTGCTTTTTGTCTTCAGATTATAAAAAGCCTCTGTGTCATTAGACCATAGTTACTGTCTTCAGTCAGCAACATTTTCCGAAGGAGTCCATATTTTAATGTTTATTTTCTTGGTTACCCCAAGAGTAGGAAGAAAATCTTGAGCCTCTTCTGCTGGCTGTATCATAGAAAAGCAGGTGGGGAAACAACCAGAAAAGTCTTTCTGGAAGAAAGTGCTCACAACTACACACATATATTCATCGTAGATAAGTATACACTAGAAAACACACACACACACACACAATGCCAGAGATGTTCCCACTGACCCGGACCTGCAGATGTGTCCAGAGACATAGGTTTACACAAGTATGAACATAAAACTCCGAGACTCGACAGGGGTCATCTCACGTGTACACAGATACATAAATGCACACACACGGATACATGTGAATGCCCACAGTTCTCTATGTAGGCACAGAGCCACACAGAGTCGTACATACATAATCCACAATCACATGGACCCAGAGAAGCAGGCAGAGACATGTATGCTGACCTGGCTAGCACCCAGAGGTTCTATTTACTGATTCACAGCCTCGGAGAGGCACAGATGCACACACATATACACATACAAAGAAACATCGATGCCTCTGGAGGCTCATGAAACCTAGACACGCTCTCAGCCACCCCCCCCGACATTTATGCACACGAACCTTCACAGACACACAGGAGTTTGCACGAGTGCATACATGCCCATCAGTGCACAGAGTCACCCAGACACAGACATTGGTAGATGTGTTTTTACCGCTCTGCAGACCCCGAGGCTTTCACCCAAACACTGCAACATAGAGATTCATTCATGATTAGATACATGTGTTTTCAACATGTACTCACTGGTGTTTTCCTGATCCCAGAGTCACACACATGTACACACAGAAGCATGGTTGTTATCAGAACACACAGGTATAAACGTGTTCATGCCTACACATGCAACGCAAGGGCTCCTGCTTACTGTGAACATTTAAATGCGCACACAGGCACATGCATGACAGCGCAGATGGGAGTATGCAAAGGAATAGTCGTGTATGTGGGTGTACACATGGAAATACACAAGCACACGGGTGTGCACATATAAATGCACTTGTACGTGGAGAAGTCAGATACGGATCCATACGGAGATTTCTACCTGTATCTACACACAGAGATAGTGGGATATGCATGAGAGAGATGCTTTTGTAGAGAAGAGCGATGTGTTCTACATAGATTGGGGGGGACATTTTGGCAGAAATGCTTTTAGATGCAGAAGCATATACCTCCCCACAGAGACACGGGCCTAAAGACCCACACAAAGATCTATGTGGGCAAACACATCTGCACTCACAGAGGCTCACTCAGATGTGTGAGAGGAGCGTGCAAAGCCACACACACATGCAGAAACACAGGGCATTCACGGAGATGCAGGCATGTGCACAGAGGCAGAGAGGCACACAGACCGCACCCATACAGAATCACAAAGAGATGGCTACAGAAGCTTGAGCAGACGTTTGCAGAAGCATACATACAGATTCCCACGCATGGAGTTCTACACGGATGTATAGCTAGACATGGAGGCCCACAGACACACACCTGAACACAGAGGCACACAGATACCCACAGAAGCATGCATGTCTACTGATCTGTGCACATAGTCATAGAAATGCATGCACACCCCGTCAGAATCCAGCACACCGCCCAGACATACAGTTGCACAGACACTTGTATGTGTCGCCATGTGTATGCCTGTGAACAGATGAGTATGTGTAGCACAGAAGCACACACACAGACATGTACCCAGAGACACGCAAAATTCTCATGCATGTGGAGTCCTTATATCGTGCAGCGACATAAACATCTACATACAGGCGCATGTGCATTCACCCAGAGAGTCATCCGAAGAAACTCGTCCTCATATAGGTGGGTTTATGCAGATCCACTCACACGCGCCCCTGTGGACATGAAGATGGTCACACAGACATACACATGAAAACGGAGGTGGAGAAACAGGTGGACGAACACAGTCCTGCATGTGTGACTATAGAAGCACCTAGACACAGATAAAGCCTGACGGCAAGAACGTGTAGCTATAGACCCGACGACCAACACTCAGACATGCACATGGGTGTTATGTCTGCACAGACATACAGACACGCAGCTACTCACACTGATGAACCATTGCAAGCAGCAAACATGAGGACTAGACATTTCCACATAGAGATGCTGCTTACACACTTGGACTCATGCAGAGATCTGCGCATGGGAATACGGAGGCACTTCCACAGACTTACACAGGTAGACAGAGACATGAGTCCTGCCTCCAAAAAAAGCAAGATTTCACCTACTCTGATGGTGACACACTCCAAACCTCTCTCACAGACACATGCAAACAGAACTCCATAATAGCGCCTGCCTATACACACACACAACGCACATGCAGATGTCCGCTCAGATGCCAGGGGTCCCTGCCAGAAACACAACATCCTCAGCATATGAAAGCAAGAGACCTACACACATGTATCTACAGACAACACAGTCCTGAACATGGTAAAAAATACAGACATAGCCACAGGCACACAAAGGCACAGACACGTACCTTCACATGTCAACATTTAGACACATTGGCACATGTACACACACACACAAATGATCTACAAATGTGCTCCTACGCCCATGTGGCACTCAATCCTGAATGTACATCAAACATATGAATGCACACACACATACACACACACATCTGCCAACATAGGCATACAGATGCATACATAGACTTAATCATGCTACAAATAGAAACACAGACATATGCACAGACGTGGAGACATAGGCAGAGATTTATACGCATGAAAACACACAGACTCAGGTACTTATAAAAGCACACACAAATAAACCCTTTTCCAAAGGAGGCTGTGACTTTAATGTACCTTTTTCTTAGCCTCTTCAAAAGAAAATGGAAATTATTTAGCTTCCTCTAATGGCTATACAGTATAAGAAGAGATGTAGAGATTGCCAGAAAGAGAGCTGAAAGATCTGGCGTGCACAAGTGTGTGTGTGTGTGTGTGTGTGCACACGTGCACACTGAATGCACACACTTCCACGTGCACAGAACCACAGGCATAGAATCACACAGAAGCACAGAAATACAAATGTGCATAGCCAGATACAGAAAGATACATAGATACATGCATGTACACACACATGTGCACGCGCACACACACACACACACACGCCACTGAAACATCACATGGGGTAGTATTTAAGGGCATGGCTATTGAATTGGTGAGAAAAAGCCAAACCTGCATTTTCTTACTAACCCAATGATTTGGGGCCATTTTCCTGCTCTCTCACTTGTAATGTGGGGGTAAGATTAGCACCTATCTTTTAGAGCTATTTGAAGATTCAGTGAAATGAAAGTCTTGGTCTTGTGCTCAGAATGTCATAGATGCTCCTGATGCTTTTTGGTTTTACCAGAGGTGAAGTTCTTAGCTGCACAGGGTTTGGGTTTTGTGGTCAAAGTTCATGGTCATATCGTAGAACGTCTCAACATTATTGTAAATGGTATTGATGAAGGGTAGATCACCTTCATAAGCAAGGCCAGTTCTGAAATTTTCAGAGATATTAAGGGCTTGTTACTGTTGCTGGTAAATGGAAATAAATATTTCCTGCTATTGTTTGTTGCGATTGTCGTCGTTATTCATATCCTTTTCCCTTTTGCAGGAGGAGATTGGACAATTGAGAGAGCCCTTGGAAGAGGGGAAGAGGGGAAGAGGGCTTCGTTACCAGTGTGTATTTGCCACCTAGTGATCATAGTGAGTAAGTACAGTGTCTATGGATGTCTCAGAAATACCCCTAAAATTTCACCCATTGCAGGGTTGCCTAACTGCCCTGGCAAGTAAGCTAGAATACTTCAGCTTATAGTGGTTTCTGGTACATTCAGAAGTTAAAAGTAATATTAAAAGAAATCTTTCTTCCTAAATTTCCTTTCCCTCACTTAGTTTTCCTTTGGGCTTCTCTGAGATTGTGTTCTATGGCAGTGGTTTTCAAACTTTCTAATTATAGGCCTGCTAAAATAATTTTGAAAAACTATCAACTCCATCAGTTGGTATCTTGAAATTTCTTGAAGTTGGTATCTGAAATTTCTTATCATAAGTTTGTGGTTATTATTTCCAGCATATTATAAATACTTATACTTTTAAATAAAATGAGTTACATTTATCCATTCATTCAGTGAACTAAAAATACCATTGGATCTTGATACTCATCATTGTTGATTTAAAAGCAAAGAAAAAAACCATGAACAGTCAGAAAATTTCATGATCTTATCTCCTGGAAATCATTGTTCTATTTAGGTCTCCTCAGTAATGTATCCTAATGTAATATATATTCTTATGTTTAAAAGCCTTTTATTGGTCATCTTACTATATATCTCTATGAAAATACATATGGATTGAAATAAATGTTCCTATAATGCTAAGCCTATTAAATATTAAACTTTTCACCATTAAATTATTAGTACTATACAGTTTATCAGAACAGTATAAAATAGTATAAAATATTATATATTTTGATAATTACTAAAAATGAAAACTCAAATTTGATTGGAAATGCATCCCTTAAGTGCATATGACTGTTTGTTTTCCTCCAAGCTAGTTTGTCACTCTGAGGATGACTGTTACTTCTAATGAGACAGTACAGTATAAATTTTATTCCTGTTTTTCACTTTTAGAGCTATAAGAATTGAAAAAAACTTTGTTCCCATAAATAAGTAGAAGGGAATGGAATGAGTGCCCAAATTGTAAGTCAAAAGTCACAGTGACTTGTCACTAAAAATAATTTTTCATGATTTAAGTTTTTTAATTAAAATTTAAAATTTGTGATGGACTACTTGATTAGACCTATCTTTAGTTCCATGAAAGGAAAGAAACCTCAATTTATGAAAGGATTTCTTGCTGAATCATTTATTTCTGAGTTTCTGGTAAGTTTACCAAAATGACTTTGTCAAGATATAGCTATTATATCTATCATATTTGCCTTTCGAAGCATTATTTTTAATCCAGTATACTTACAAAAGGTTGGAAAAATCAAAATACTTAGATAAGTATGCCTTAACCAATACAGTAATTTTGAAAAGGTGCCTTTGATTTATTATATCCTTTAAATATAAAACTTTGAGGCTGCAGATTTGGATCATTGATTTCATAGAAAATATTTATAATATAACTTAATTGGCAAAGGCAATGTCCATATCAAAATAATTGGCCAAATCAACTGTACCTTCACAGAAAGTGTCCTACATCATCTTTCAATGGAAAAATGAATTGATATGCATTTTGAGGGGCATTATTAAAACCACACAGAAATCGATTATGGGACACCTTTGTTGAATAGTTTACTAACAAAATAAATAGATTAAAAATATAGTGAGATTTTTATTTACTTTGAAATAAATTAAAATATTAATAATAATTTTGTTGTCATGTGATTTTAAATTAAACAATGAGATATGTAGCTGACATTATAATTCATGTATAAAGCAAAGAATCTGATGGCAGGCATTGTTTCCTTGAGGAAACATGTATGCATGTGTTTTTAGAACTCTGGTATTGGATTTCTGAACATAATTAACTAGGAATCATGTGCAAAAATTGAAAAATCCATTAATTTTATTGGACCACAGAATCAAACTTTTCAACCCTATCTTACGAAAGAGGTAAGTATATATGGCTAAAGAATAATTGGTCTGGAAATGACCATATTTCGTTTTTGATAATGGGAGGTAAAAAATATATAATTATTTATAAAGTGAAATGAGGATTGACTTTAATTGGAAAAGATACTTCAAGATACAATCTGAGAAAACAGGTTTTAAGTAGTTTAATTGAATGATGTATCTTATCTGAAAGAAATCACCTATAATCTCTGTGTATCAGTTTTACCGGTGTAAACGTTTTGTAAACTATCCCAGTTATACCTAAAAGAATCAGCATCAAAAGTACGTACTGCCATTAGTTAGGAGGCGCATTTCTTTCCAGTTAATGATGCATTTAAGTAATCAGTATTGAGAATAGTTGCAAAATAATGCTCAATTTTAAGCACATGGAAAAAAGATCGTTTTTAGGCAGGTCAGTTTTAGACCCACGGGAGTTAAGAATCTGAGAGGGGATCCCATACCAACTATCCATGCTCACAAAGTTCTTGAAAAGATTTCATGTACCAGTAGCCTAGTTCGAAGACCACTACTGTAGGCTATTTTCAGCAGGATTGCTCCAGAACAATACATTGTTGTCATCATTGAGATAATTCATCATAGTTCATATCCACTGTTGGATTTCTGCTGGATGCTTCTGAGTTTGAGTAAAATGTTCTGGAAGGGATTATTTTATTTTGCTGATAAATGTATGAATAGACTAGACCTATATTGTCTAATATGGGAGCCACACGTGGCTACTGAGCATTTGAATTGTGACTAGTGAGGACTGATATTTCCTCAGTGTAGAATGCAATATACACCAGGTTTTAGAGACAAGGCAAACTTAAATATTTCACTAATTTTTTTATATTGGTTACATGTTGAAACAATGGTATTCTGGATATATTGAGTTAAATAACACATATCTGTAAAATTAATTTTACCTACTTTTTAAACTTTTAAAAATGTCACATGTGAAAATTCAAATTATACCTGTAGGTTGCATCATATGTATTTTATATGATAGTGCTGCTCCTGACCTTATGTTGGAACTCTTGAATTTCCTCTAAAAACATAACCACAGAAAAAATGGATTTGTCCACTAGTCTGGTCCAGTATATTGGTATTCTGGTGCAGTCACGACCTCTCACTAGTGTTTAGGTTTTCAAGTTGTGGAATTTCTAGTTGTAATATAGCAGGAAAAATAAAAAAGAAAACCTCAATATTTCATTAAAGGTATTTAAAAAGTAGTCTTTTATTAGTACCTAGGAATTTTCTCAGTATCAACTTTGGATGGCTTCTAAGTGGGGGCATGTGAAGTTTTCGAACTCTTCAAAAATGTCAGTGGCAGATATGCATCTGTTGAAGATGTGAAGTGTTTCCTCACACTCGAGATGCTTTTTTCTGCAATTATGTTTTTATGTAACACTACGAAAGAAAACAAATGCCTCTGAATAAGCTATGATGCAGTGCTTTCGTATCAATAGAATTATAATTTTATACTTACTGGAAGCTCTTTTTGGCTTCTTTAGATACATATGTTTATCACATGTCGTGATACTACAGTAGCCACAAGCAGATTTGAATATATTTGCGTATCTCAGGCGATGACCTTTCACTTGCCTCCTGGCTGACAGTGATTGCAAAATGCCCCTGATTATAAGGCACATTCTGATTTCAGGATGTGAAAAAGGGAAGAAAGATACATCTTAGAATCGGGTAAATATGGTAAGTCCTTTGTCAGGAAAAAAGGACCATGGAAGACAGAAAGCAAACCCTAAGACATCAGCCTAGCGAAAAGCCCTCTTCTGTGTATTACTGTATTTGTGAAAAACAAAATGTGGCTCTTATCTAAACATTGATCACAGTGCACTTGAATGCCATTGTGTTCTACATTTCATCTTAGTTGTCTGATGGTTTTCTTAGCATTCTTTTCTTTGTCTCCTGGTTTGGGAGTGAGAATTGCGATGCGTAGAGTATGGCGGGGACAGACGGGATCTCTCCAGCCTGAATAGGTCTCGCCGCTCTGTTGTGAGAACCACTTAGCCCAGTCTTGTGTGAGGCTGTGCCTTCAATGGCACTGTTTGCTCTTTGTAAGTGGACTAACAGAGGAGCCTTTCTCCCTGTCATGGCTTAGTTTAATTGTAACATGTTCTTTGTGTCCTTTCTTGACTGAAGGGCTTGAGAGGGGGAGGAATGGAGATTGAGCTGCTTTTCTAGTTCTTGTTTTATATAGTATTCAAGAGGGTGTGCGAGAGGAATCAAAACTCCACAGGAAGTACATTATCTCAAGAATCAATGAAAACAACCCTAGATTTGCCATCTAGGAATTGACACATCTCTGAATCTAATGATAGTTTTGATGATGTGAGATTTACAAGAGGTAACAAAAACAAACGTTTTCATGAATTGAGAAGACCTAGAGAACCGATAACATGTTTCCTTTGTTGTCCCTACAGTTCAGCATTATACTAAGACTCACATATCTCTTAAGGGCTCCAAAGTAGGGCCAGGTTCGTGGACTTGTGACTTGTGAGTCTCATAGAGCTCTCTGCCTGGTTTAATGCTCTGCTGTAATGGTCTGAAATTCTCAATACGTTTTGAGAAAGGGTCCCCACATTTTCATTTTGCACTTTGTTCTACCAGTTCTATGGTCAATCCTGTTCAAAAGGGGAAACTTGCCAGAGAATAATGAACTGAAGTTGGGAAGTTAAATTAGAAGCATTCCTTTTCTAATGTGTACTGAATTCGTTCTGTCGGTACTCAAAAACATGGTACCGGTAAGCTACCATTGCTGTTGTTGTTAGGTAATAGTTGTAGAAGTAATAATGGCAGTAGTATTACTCAACAGTCCCTTATATTGACTCCCTCATTTATTCATATGATGTGGGGCATCTTCTGTGTCTCTATTTTCTTTTTACAAAAAGTTTAAAAGGATTTTATTTATTTATTTGAGAGAGAGAGAGATTGCATGCATGAGCAGAGGGCTAGGGCAGAGGGAGAAGCAGACTCCCTGCTGAGTGCAGAGTCCAATCCCAGGGCTCATTCCCATGACTCTGAGATCGTGACCGGAGCCCAAGGCAAAGGCTTAACCTACTTAACCCACCCAAGCACCCCCCAAATT